TTGAGTTATTCAATGTCTTTGGACTGTAATTATTTAATGAAATGCTAGAAGAGCATAGAAATACATAAAAAGATGGATATTATTTGGCAATTTAATGTTTTCAAAAATATAACTTCCTTCCCATACCCAAAAAAATAATAATATTTCATGCTTAGCAAATGAAAGCACTTATACTTAAAAAAAAAAAAAAACAGATTCAAAATAAAAAATTTTGCAGATTCAAAACATTCGCTATTTTCCCTCTATAACAACCTAATTCATCTTATAATTTTTTAGTTAATAATTAATCATGTTCTGTAAAATTTGTAATTGTTTATTATATAAAATAAGCATATATTAGTTGATCCATCGTATATGCAAAACTAGTAAAGTACCGTGCATTTATACTACATTTTTTATAAATAAATGTTAATTTGTAGGAATTTTTTTTTTCCAAAAAATAACTTTTAGCTAATGTTTTCAAAATCAATCGGATACTAGACTAGGAAAGTCAATGGTTTATAGTTTGCATGATTCAATCAAGTTAGATTAATGGTTAAATCGGTGATATAATAATTAATTAAAAAATTATATATTATATAATAATCTAAATATAAGAAATAAATATAAAATTACTACTTAACTTAAAAATAAAACCAAATATTTAAATTTATCATGACTTAACAAGCCACATGATATAACATAAAATAAAAAAAAATAATATTTTAATTTGTCATGATTTAACAAGTCACATGATACAATATAATATTAAATAATTAAAAAAAATGGGTCATTTTCTTAAAAAAATGATAAAAAAATAAATTTTTTTGAACAATCTGGTTCTTGAAAACTGGATTCAGTTTTCAGCTTGATTCTAGTTCCTGTTCTGAAATGGCCTAACTCAGCTCAACCCCTAAAATAGTTTTTACATACTAACCGAACCATAATCCGAACTTGTTGACAGACAAACCAGTCCAACCGTCCAGTTCGCTTTGGTTTTTTAATCATTGCTTGTAGCAGAACACCTTCTCCATGTCATCCAATACATAGTAGGGTTATGTAATTATTGTCTTTAATATTAAATATGTATATTAGAGTTAAAAAAATTGTTGCTAAAAACTAAATGCGTAGTGTAAATGGATACGATAGGAAGCAGGTTAACGAAAATTCATCATTAATTATATCAAATTATTGAAAACTTTCCTATAACAACATTAGAAGTTTTTATCTATAGATTGACCACCCATTAAGAATTAATATTTTTAAACCCTCCTTACTTTAAACACAAGAAACAGTAATGTATAATTGTTCGTGGATGAAAAACAAGACAAGGTGGATACAAATTGACATAGCAAAGGCTCTATCCCTGGCTCTTATTGATGATCATTGGAAAGGCTAAAGTAATGGGAAATTGCATCCTCATAGTAAATGATAACCTGGAATCAAATGAACAAATACCAATACATGTTATATATACTTTTGTCCTTGCAATTGACCCAGACATTCTTAAGCCTCAATAACATGTTTTTCAATTTATATAACTATAAGACGTGTACCATTATATAACCTATAAATTATCACTATTCTGCATTAAAATAATTGGGTACCAACTTTCAGCCTTATTTCATGATTTGGGAGGCCTGTTAATATGATTTGAATTTAGGAAATTTGTAAAGTACAAGTCATTAAGTGAATTCATTTCCCCATCATAAAGCATAACACTATCGAAATTCAATTATACAACTTCTTCTCTAAAGAGTAGGGACAACATGTACTTATTTAAGTCTTCAACCACAGTCAACGTAAGGGCTAAGATAGCCTATCTTTAAAATATAAAGAATTATATGCATTGTTAAGGAAATCCAAGACATATGTTTATCATCATGGATGATTCCTAGTAGTTAGATCATGTGAATCAGTATAAAATGTAGTCTTAACCCTATCATGTCCTTTGGTTACAAACTTGAAAATAATTAAGAAAATATGTCATAAAGGGCACTGATAAATGAATTTAAGAAGACATTTAATTGAAACACAACATAAAACAACCCCACATGATGCATTTTGTGACGTCATCCTTACATTACCAAACACACAGGACATCAAACATGGAATATCGTTATGATAATTGTAAATAGTCTAATCTCAAGAAAATGGTCATCATAACACAAGGATTAGAAAGAAGTTCAAAAAATTGGAATTCTATAAACACTTTTTAATAGACCGTTTGACCTCAAACTATCGTTTAAAACAAATAAACAAGACATGAAAGCATGAAAATTTGTCACATATAAATAATGAGTAGAACTAAAAATTTCTCAACAATAGGGCACAATAAGTTGCGGTGTAGTGTGACATCTGCCGCGGCAGACTATACAGAGGGAAACTTCCCTTTTGTGCGTTGTATGCGTCCCCTATCATGATAGCAATTGCTATCATGGCATCTCTCCGAATCAACTTCTGGAGCAAGCCATTTCACCATTCGGCGTTCAATTTAAGTGACTCAATGTCGAAACGTAACTCTTAGAGCCATCTAGCTATTTGCACTGATCACACACCTAAACACTAAATTAAATGAGATTTGGACACTCAATCCAAAATGACTAATTTTCCTTGAAAAACCACTACCAAGGTGTCCAAACTCCCAAGCCAAGTGCCAATAGCCATGGGACCACTCAAACCAACTCAAATGGACCACAATAACCTGTATAAACATTCAAATCCCAACAACAACAATAACCCAACAAGATTTAGCTGCCAAAACCCCATATTTGATATAAATTCCACTAGGGGTAAAACAAGTAATGATCTTTCCAAACGACCAAACAACGTATAAATCAACTTAAAACTAGCACTTGCACTAGTATTTTAACCTTTCACAACACTACAATAATACAATTACAATACCTCAGGTCGAGATACCCACAGTTTACAGTACAGTTCATCTAAATGCATTACACAACAATAATGAATTCTAAGTTGGCATATGCATATGCAATTCGTTACAAAACCCAAAATAAATAAGAATGACTATAGAATTACAAACTATTCCTTTCAATACTCAATTTCTCCTTCCTTTCCCTTGCTCTTATGTGAAAATGGTGCATGTTGAAAGTTCGTATTAGTCGAACTGTCATGATAACAAAATCTATCATATGAGCTGCAACATATGATCCCTTTTTGGCAAACATGATTGTTTTGCCCCTGTTTTTTTATCGTATGATATTTATGCATTATAAGCGCTTTCGTTGTACATAAATACATATGTTTTAGTGTTGTAACTTGTTTTCAAAAATTTTTGAAATTCCAACTATTTATAAGAATTAATTTTCTTAATATTTAATATTTGTAATTTGTGGTAACTTAGGGCTTAAGAACTTGTAATTACCTTTGTATGTTAGGGAATGGGTGCAGTTTGGTAACTTCAGACAGACATTACATAAACAAAATTGGATCCGCACAAGACAAACAGGCTCACCAAACATGCACACCGATTTGAATTCAACAACCTAGTGGGGAATAAAAAAACCAGTGTCTCAACCACAAAGAAAGAAGAACGACTCGATGCCCAAGCAAATCACACGTCAACGAACATACCAACACAAGTGACAACCAAATGGAGAGAAAAACGCACTATTTTTCCTTGAATCACGTGCAACCACAACAAACTGAACTTGACAGGGACAAAAAAGAAGAAGAAGCAAATGCACCTCGTCTGAACGCTACGCAGAAACCGAACTAGGATAGTATTGTTCAAATGCTGTAGCTAGTTTTCTAAAGTTTAGATAAAAAGTTAATAATTTTAAAATATATTAATTTATTTATAATTAATTCAATTACAGTTTAATTACAGTTCGATCATTAAATCGTAAATGAGTCTCCAACCGAGGTAATAAGTCCCATAATTAAAATCTTGAACGTTGTACCAAAACAAAACGGGAGACAAGAAATTACCTGTTTGGCTGAATCACCACAATTCCGGCTAGTTCTCGGTCCCCAAGTCCACGAACATGCACCTCACCAAGGCATTCGCCACTCGCCACTGTGACCACCACCTTCTAGGATTCAATCGGCACCGTCTCCTCAGCTCACAACCTGTTCTCCTCCTCCCTCTTTTCCTCATCCTGTTGTTTTCCAAGCCCTTGTTCTCGAAAGCTCGTCGCTCGGGCCCAGAAACCCCATCATAACTCTGGTCCCAAAGAGAGGCTGCGAATAAGGGGCAATAAGGACAACGTCTGGAGTGTTGACAACGACCTCGCGAATGCCACGGCCGAGAAAGAGAAGGCGAGGGCCAGTCGGAGGAAGCAGAAGGGAAGGAGCATGGTGAAGAGGAAGGGAGGTAGGGGTGGTAGAGTGTTGGTCTCTGGGGCTATGTTGATGGAGGTTGAAACGGTTCTTCAGACCCAGGTATGTAAAAGTGGGTTCAATTTGGGCAAATATTTGGAAAGGAGAATGTATTTTGGTGAGTGGCCAAGTGATGATTTGGACGCTAAGATATTGTTTTAAAAATAAGCTATGAAGATAGCAATGAGATTAATACTTGGTATCCTTGACAATCCTATCTGAAATTTGGAATTTTATTTGTTTCCTTATGAATAAAGATGCCTTGGATAAGAATGAGGAAGAAACCTGCCATTTACATGCATTGAATCTCAAATATTTTGGACATTCAAAGCTGACGACTGATAATGTGTTAAGTGAAAGACAAAATAACAAATTACCTTAAACTCTTTTATTTCTGGACAAAATTCAAATAAAGCATTCCCAAAGATGGACTTTTGGGCCCAACCCTCTATTAAAAGAAAAAAAATTGTTTTACTTTATTTGTTATTCAATGTTTGTATTATATGTAGAACGATTAGTACTTCGTATTTCTATTTCAGATTGGAAGGTGACAAAAATGACTCTTTCAGGAACAGTAATAAAACCAGTTTGGAACACATTTGCTAGCAGTGTCAGTGGGATTTGGAAGGGTGTAGGTGCAGTATTTTCTCCTCTTACTGCTGAAATGGAGCCAGTTGAAATAGGTAACAAAAATGAAAAACCTATATGACTGCTACACCCTTTCCCGTGTTGAGGCAGTGCCATCACCGTCTGGTAGACCGACATCACAGATTCAGAGAAAAATTAATTGGGTGACTTTGAACCCTTTTGGTGAAACACTGCAGCATACTGAAGGCAACGACATGGCTAAAGAAGGATCCAGAGATGGTGGTGCCCCTTTACATATAAAAGAAAAGATCACTGACAATGCAACAAGCACTGTGTTGCCTACATTTGAGTCCTTCAACTTTGAAAGAAGTGATGTGATGGAAGAAGATGTTATGGAATGTGAACCGGGCCTTATTTACTTTGAAGTAAGCTGTCCCTCTTACGTTCTAGCATAGATTTCTTTGTAGACATCAGTTATTGTTCATAGCCAGGACAAATGATTATATTGTTGTATTGGTGTTATATTTTACTGACTTCCCTTCAGCGTGGGATGTGTAACCTATGTTGTCACTAATACCTACAAGAAAAGATATATTTTTATGGTTCTGTGAATTAAAAAACTGTCTGAATATTTTCACAATACAAATAAACTTCCTGAATTTTCTGTTTCAGTAATTGAATGTGTTTGTTTTCAACTCCTTTATGTATGTGGGCCTTTTTGTGCTTCTTCTCCCTTTGATCTTTCCTATTATTGTTTGATGCTGGAATTGATGAAGAGGAGCACTAAACTCTTTTGATATATAATTTTCATAGTTGCTGCAGTGGAAATATAATGTTGATTAATGTTAATTGAGGCACACATAATGTTAAGATTTGCCAAAAATATTCACTTCCATGACATTAAAATTGTGTCGTGGCTGTAAATAAGAGGATGCTTAGTTGTAAAGAACTAGATATCAAACTCTAACTTGACATGGCCCTATTGGTTTAGCACAAGAATTGTTCCCTATGCTTCATGTGCTACAAATGCCTAAGATCATGTTTGGACAAAGGTTACTCTTGCTCTTCTATTAGCTTAAGGTGGAGTGAAAGAACTAGTGTACTCATGCTGTTAGGATCAAAATATGACATTATAATCAAGAGCTCAAAGGTTATGTCAGCTGGGATGAGGGAATTTTTCAGGGTGGTAGCAGATTGATATTTTAGAAGTAGTGCCTCCTCAGTCATTAGGCTACCATGATACTTGGTTAGAATGTTGTCAATCTGCTACTATACTCATTGTTATTCAAGTACTCTTTGTGACAGTTGATAGAAAATTAATTTCTCCAACTTTGTTCTTTGGTGCATTTTGTTACCTATGTGATTCCTTTTTCTAATTGAATAGTTTATTGTAGCCTTTGTGAATGGTTGACAAAACATAACTTGCTAGTTATGTGATGACATCAAGTTGTGTAATATTTTTAACTTTTGTAAGATAATTGTGAATTTGCAGTGCAAAAACTTCTATCTTTATTTGAAAATCTGAAGCGTACATATATAGAGGAGATATGATAGAATCGCACTAAATCTGCCCTAATGGCTAATAAAGATAATAGCAAATATTCTGATTCTAAAAATCCCTACAGATCAGTAAAATATCTTGAATAAAAAAATGAATATGCTAACAGACAACTAATTAGGGCTGAGGAAAATTTGGTAATGGGCCTAGGTTACGTTGGCCCACTTCCAACACTCCCCCTCAAGTTGGCGAATAGATGTTGACCATTCCCAGCTTGCCGATTAGTTCATCAAACTTGTTCCATACGAGAGGCTTGGTCATCACATCTGCAACTTGCTTTCTTGATGGAATGTTGACTTTAGCTTCTATTTTTTCCTTGGTGAAATGTCTGTCAATTTCCACTTGTTTAGTACGATCATGTTGAACTGGATTGTTGGCAATCTTCAAGGCAGCCATGCTATCACACCACATTTTAATTGGAGTATGTTGTTCTATGCCTAGCTCTTTGAGTAACTGTACTATCCATATGCCCTCACAAATTCCAAGGGCTAAGGCCCTATATTCAGATTCCGCTGAGCTTCTAGACACGATTGGTTGTTTCTTACTTCTCCAAGTCACAAGATTCCCCCACACAAAGATGCAATACCCAGTAGTAGAGCGCCTATCGTGAATGGATCCAGCCCAATCAGCATCAATATAAACTTCTACATCTGTTTCACTTTTCGTGTTAGATATTTTCTTGTTTTCATCTGTGTAGATTTCTACAATCTTTCTGTCTCCTTTAGAAAACAATAATCCCCTCCCTGGAGTTGTCTTGAGGTATCTGAGAATACGATAGACAACTTCCATATGCTCCTTTTGTGGATTACTAGCAAACTGACCTACAACCACAACAGCAAATGATATATCTGGCCGGGTGTGAGATAAATAAATTAGCTTTCCTACCATTTTCTGGTACCTCTCCTTATTAGTTGATTTCCCTTCAGGTTTTACTTGCAGGTTGCAATTAAGCTCCATTGGAGTATTTGTAGGTCTAGAACCCATCATACCAGTCTCCTTAAGAAGATCCAGAGTGTATTTTCTCTGCATGACATTGATGCCCTAAGAAGATCGAGCTGCCTCCAACCCAAGAAAATACTTAAGATAGCCCATATCTTTAATCTCAAATTGGGCAGCAAGTTTCTTCTTCATTTTATCAATTTCTTCAGTGTCATTACTTGTTAGCACAATATCATCTACATAAACAATCAGTACAGCAATCTTTTGATCAGACCTCTTTACAAATAAAGTGTGATCTGCTTGACACTGGTTATAACCAAATCCTTTGATAGCACGTGTGAATTTTTCAAACCAAGCTCTAGGTGATTGTTTTAGTCCATAGAGGGACTTATGGAGCTTGCAGATTTTGTTTGCATTCTCGGGTCCTCTCAAAACCAAGGGTATCTCCATGCACACTTTCTCTTCTAAGTCTCCATTTAGGAAGGCATTCTTCACATCAAGTTGATGTAGTGGACAATCTAAATTTGCAGCCAGAGATAACAAAACATTAATAGTATTGAATTTAGCCACAGGAGCAAATGTCTCTTGATAGTTGATGCCATAGGTTTGGGTAAAACCTTTAGCAACTAGTCGTGCTTTATATTTATTTAGACTCCCATCCGAGTTGTATTTTTTAGTAAAGACCCATTTACTGCCTACAACTGATTTCCCACAAGGCATATCAACAATTTCCCAGGTTTGATTTTTGTCCAAGGCCCTCAATTCTTCTTCAATGGCCAATTTCCATTTCAGATCAGATTTAGCTTCTTCAAAAGTTCTAGGTATTTCTTCACTATCAAGAGTAGTAAAAATGTCTTAAGCTAAGCATTAAGCTTATCATAAGAGACATACCTTTCAATGGGGTGTCAGGTGCAACTTCTCTTGCCTTTACTGAGAGCAATAGGCCATTGAAGATCTTTAGGATTAACCTCAGATTGTGAATCATGACTTGCCTTGGAACATCAATGGAACCTTCGCTATGAATGAGCTACACAGGCTGATTTTCCCTTGTTTTCATCCATAATAGGGTCAATGACAGATTCATAAGGGTCAGTAGAGGGCTGTTCTTGACTGGTATGATAATCAAAAGGAGTTTCAGCTTCAGAAGTAGGTGCAGTAAGGTCAAGATTAGGTGCTGCAGCACAGCCAGGTTCAGAATCAGAATTGGGCTGACTGGCACAGAAAGGTTCAGAATTTGGCTGTTCAGTATTAGTGATGATAGTGGATTGATTACTTAAGTGATCATTCTCTATAGTGGCACAAATTAACCATTCACTAGCATTCTCCCCCTGAATGGTTGATTTGGAATAGAATGGTAGTGTTTCAACAAATTTAACATTCATAGTGATATAGAACTTTTGTTTTTCAGGAGAGTAACATTTGTACCCCTTTTTTGTCAAGGAGAAACCCAAGAAGAGACATTTAATGGATCTAGGATCAAGTTTCCCACCCTCTTCATTAAACACAAAAGCCGTGCACCCAAAAACCCTTTTCGAAGAGAATTAATAAGGTGTGAGTGAGGATAAGACTCTAAAAAGCTTTGGAGCGGCATTCTGAACTTGAGAATTTTGATGGCATACGATTGATGATATAAGCAGCAGTAAGAACTGCATCTCCCCAAAACTTATTGGGTACATTGCTACCTAATAGTAGAGATCTAGCCACCTCTAAGAGATGTCTATTTTTCCTCTCAGCCACTCCATTTTCTTGGGGTGTATGCACACAAGAAGTTTGATGGTGTATCCTTTTTTAGTAAGAAAGGTTTGAAAATTTGTGTTTAGATACTCAGTTCCATTGTCACTACGAAGTATTTTAATGGAAGTTTGAAATTTTATAGAAATTTTTAAAGAGAGTAACAATTTTAGACTTGTCTTTCATTAAAAACAGCCACATAAGACGAGTATGATCATCAATAAAAGTAATAAACCACTTAGCTTTAGAGGGAGTTTCAATTGAGAGACCCCACACATCACTGTGCACAAGAGTGAAAGTTTTAGTGGGAGCATAAGTAGAGATAGGATAAGGATTGCGAGTTTGTTTTGCAAATTGACAAATATCACAATGAAAATTGACTTTATTCATGGAATTTGGGAATAAGATTTTCATATAATCAAAACTAGGGTGGCCTAATCGAAAATGCCATAATAAAGTATTTTCTTGGGACATAACAGTGGAAGCAAAAACAGGCTTGGAAACAGAATTAGAATCAGCCAAGAAGTCTTTATCTTTGGGTTTTCCTTCAAGGTAGTAGAGTCCATTGTGTTCCTTAGCATTGCCAATCATCTTCCCCAAGGCTAATTCCTGAAAAACACAGTGAAATTTGTCAAACATAGCAAGGCAATTTAAATGACAGGTCATGCACGTAACAGACAGCAAATTACACTGAATATCAGGCACATATAACACATTTTTCAACATAATAGACTCTAAAATAACAACTATTCCAGATCCCGTAACTTGTGGTTAAGCATTATTAGCCACTTGTACATGAGTGTGCTCTGAATAAGGGCTAAACTCAAAAAACAACTCCCGAAATCCAGTAATGTGATCTGTGGCATCAGAATCCACAACCCAAATATTTTTACTTCCAGTAATAGCACTCAAGAAAGTTAGTAGAGTTGTACCTGCATGCGCCAATGTAACTAAGGGAGAGAGTTTCTCACTTGGTTTTTCTTGAGCATACCTTTCTAGGAGTCATTTCAGCACAACCAGTTCTTCATTATTTAGTGAATTTCCTTCAGTTTGATTGATTGCAAAACTTTTGCTCTCACCTTTATTCTTTTGTTTCAAGTGGGCGGGTCTACCATGTATTTGCCAACAGGTCTCTCGAGTGTGACTATTCTTGTTGCAATGATCACACCGAAGAGACTTCTTCCCTTTTAAATCTCCTCCTAGATTGCCTCGGGTTACCATAGCCGAGGATTCAACAGTTGGTAAAGAAGGAGTAGAGAAAGGAAGCTGAACAAGAGCCTTGTGGCTTTCCTCATATTTTATCATATTAAATGTTTCATCAAGTGAAGGAAGAGGTTTTATACCCACTATTCGACCTCTGACATCCTCAAACGAGTCATGAAGGCCAAGGAAAAATTCATAACATCTCTCATGTTCAACAAACCTTTTGTAATACACCTCATCAGCATGAAAAGACCATTGATGAACTTCATATAGATCTATATGCTGCCACAACCGCATCAAGGAGGTGTAATATAGTGTAATTGATTTCTCCCCTTGCGTTAGAGTTCGAAGAGCCCATTTTATGTGGAAGATAGCTGCTGTATTTTCTTGAACAAGGTAGGTATGCTGTGCAGATTCTCAAATTTCCTGAGCAATGTTATCAAGATCATAATTCTCGTGGATCTCAGTGTTCATAGAGTGAACTAACCAGGTCATGACCAGATTGTTTTCTACACACCACACTTCATATTTAGGGTCACCAATCTCTGGCACCTTCGGATGTCCAGTCAAGTACCGCTCCTTGTTGCGACCTCGCACAAACGTGAGCACATTTCTGGACCATTGCAAGTAATTGTTGCTGTTGAGTCAATGGGTGATGATAAGTTGAGAAGAAGAGTCCGTATGCGAATTCCCAAAAGAACCTGCAGCAGTCCCTCCTGAATTTGCAGTCCTGTTTGAGCCTCCACCTTGTGCAGTGGAGTTTAGAGAAGTTTCTCCATCTGTGGCGAAGGCTCTGGGACCGGTTAGCACTGCCTTATACGGCATAGGAGGCGCTGCTCTGATACCATGTGAATTTGTGGTGCAAAAACTTCTATCTTTATTCAAAAGTCTGGAGCATACATATATAGAGGAGAAGATATGATGGAATCGCACTAAATCTGCCCTAATAACTAATAAAGATAATAGAAAATATTCTGATTCTAAAAATCCCTACAAACAACAACAACAACAACAAGCCTTTATCCCACTAGGTGGGTCGGCTACATGGATTGCAAGACGCCATTGTGCTCTATCATTTATCAAGCTTTTAGAAATATTATTAATTAAGAGATCACGTTCAACAACTTCCAAGAGTGTTCTCCTAGGCCTTCCTCTACCTCTCTTAATCGGACTCAAAGTTATATGTTCCACTCTTCTCACTGGTGCCTCCCTTGATCTTCTTTGTACATGCCCAAACCATCTCAACCGATTTTCTACCATTTTTTCCATTCTAAAAATCCCTACAGATCAGTAAAATATCTTGAATGAAATGGATATGCTAACAGAACAACTAAGTAGGGCTGAGGAAAAATTGGTAATGGGCCTAGGTTACATTGGCCCACAGCCCACTTCCAACAATAATATTGTCATGAAAAGATTGTAAAAGCCTACAAAACTAAGGAGGAAGACAGTTATTTTATGTAAGGTCTGTTTAACCATGGCAGCTGTAGCTGTTTATCTATTCACACTGAGACTGTTGTGGATGATAGGCCCATACAGCGCAGTACAAGTGCATCATTTCTAATTTCTTAATGCATGCCCACATATAGAGATTGTATACAAGAAGCTAACCTGAACCTAGTATAAAAAACTTGCAATTGAAGGAACAATAACTTATAAAACAACTCAATGAACAATATTCATCACATAGGAACCACTATGTGACAGATCAAAAGGATCCTAAACTTTGGTTTAACTCATTTTTGCAAGCTTATATAGTTCAATATTACTACCATATTGATTTTGTCCATTATCAATTGTATTCTAGGTCTGATTGGTTCATAAAAAGGATATGAATGGAATGGAATAGAATGGAATACTGATCAATATGAATATGTTTGGTATGATACAAAAAACTGATGGGATGATAGTTAGTTTTTAATCACAAGAAAAATAAATGTAAAGTGACTGCATAAAAAATTCCCCTCCCTCCTCCTCCATCGTTCATCTTCCCTAGCAAACTCACCATTGTCAATCATCATTATGCATAAAACCAAACATCAAAACCCAGCAGAAATCAGATTGATAGGAAGAAAAATCTAATCTTAAATTTAGAAGATCCAAAAATCAGAATTCTTGATTGAGAATTGAAACCCAGAGCGTGCTCCAGAAATCAGAAATCTTGTTAAAGACAACCGCAACACTGAATGACCTCCCTTACCAGGTCCAAATCACTGGCTCTGGTGACCTTTATCATGCAATCAACAACACTGATCCTCTAACTTGCTTAAGCAGTTGATAGTTCTTCCATGCCTTTTCTTTTTAGCACAAACTAAGGAATCTGCCTTTGTCCTTCTCAATCTTGCTTCCAATCTTCATGTAGTTGAGGTTTACGATTTTGTATAGAACATTGGTGCTGCAGCTGCATGATTAATTGGTTTAATTTATTTTTTTATTACAAATTCTATTGTTAGTCTTTTGATTCACATTCTAGATTTAACTAAGAGAGTCGCATGTTTATTAGAGATATTAATTAAAGTTTCCATGTGCCTTTATTGAATATCCTAAGCTTTTGAATTGATTATGATCATGTGATTAGGCATTTTATCGTTTTTGGTTCCCCATTTATCATATTTGAGTTTTCTTGCAAAATACAGTGGATTTGTGGTTTGTGTACCCTTCAAGCTCAAACACCTTTGTGTGCATAAGCTCAAAATGCGGCATTGAAGCTAGATGTGGTTAAATAGAAAGAGTATTTGACGCAGGAGCGAGTGCTTCATCTAACATTATAGCTTTACTTTGGCTACACCAAGATAACTCTTCCTTAATAAAAAAATAATTTCCTGGATCATTTGTAATTTTTAATTTGGTGCACTCTGTCTCACTCTACAAGACCTTCCTATATAGTTAACGCCTCCTAATTAGACTAATATCTTGCTCAGTAGAGTGTCTTGAATGAATAGGGTTGTCATTTAGCCCTGTTAATCCCATTGTTTTGTGGCTTATTTTGCATACATGGGTTAATATGAAATTGAATGTTCGAATGAATATGGTTGCCTCAAATACTATCCAGTAGCATTACTCACATTCTTCAATCAAAGTTTAAATAAATTAATCTTTTGGAATTATCTATCTTTTTTGCTATGGATATTTCAGGTTGAAACTTCGGACTCTAGATGCAATTAACTCGCTATGTGTCCTGATTATCTGTTTTGCTCTCATAGAAATCATCATGTTTTTCTTTGAAAGTAGATGTCATTTTTAATTTTAAGCCCTCAAAAAATCTCATTATATTGAGAAAATGTATTGAAGTTTAGGATAAATGACGATAAATTACTACCCCTTCCTCAGATACCCAAATTACATAGTTGATATATCGGAATAAGGGAATGAGGGGCAATTAAGGGATTAAGAATAAAAGGGTAGATTGGGTAATTAGTTTAATATCTCTATAAATAAGGTTTTGAAGAGTGAAATGGGCTTTGTTAATGATATTTTCCCATTTCGGTCTCTGCTCCTTTTACGTGTATCAATAGTCCTTTCTTCTATTATGAAATATAAACAAATCTCCCTGAAGCCAATATATGACTCTAATATCTTGATGAACAATATTAATTTTTTTTAAATAAAAACCATCACTTATTTGAAAATATGTTGTTTTTCACCTTGTATTTCAATGTTATGTATTTTGGAGTTAAAATTCATAAATTGAATTTATTCAAAATTGTGTTTACATGATTATTATATTGATCTAGTACACGTATATTGCTTACTATATTATTTGAAGAATAGATATAACGGTATTTTGATCAAAATAGGCTTTCTTATGGTTTATATTATGTTGGAGGGTTAGTCAATGTACTGCATCTTTGAATATAATGGGGATTGCAATTTTAGTTTGTATCACGTAAATTGGGCATCTTTCAATTGAAGGGAGTGTAATTTATCCGAACTATAGCATCAATGGATCCTATGATCTAAAACCATGTAATTTGAGCATCTTCCCGGGGAGCAAAGGGTAATTTACCGTAAATCTTAGTATCAACCGGATCCTTTGATATGCATAACAATGTTTGTATCTATAGAATAATTGTAAATATAACATTAGTTCTGTTCACACAATCATTCTTTTAATAATTGTGGCAATTAAATTGCAGGATGGATCTTACTCTAGGGGTCCTGTAGATATCCCTTTGGGCGAAATTGATGATACGAATTATCATGTCACTCCAACTTACAAGTTCGAACAAGTGAGTTCAGCATCTATAGTCTCAGTTTTGACTGGCATAGATCAAGCATTAGTAATTAGTTTAGCAGCTTCAATCATATGGATCCATTCATCTTTCTTGCAACAAATATGGACTAAGCTGTATAGACAAAATGGAAAATTGGATTGATTTCTCAGTTCTGCTTAATCAATAAGAGAATGCAACTGTTTTTATTGATGATACAACACACACGTGCATGTTGCTTCTGCTTGTCAATAAAGAATGCAACTGTTTTTATTGATGACAATGCTTGCATGCTGTCTGTGTATGTCTACAATTCTGTGAATTCAATACATAATTCATTCATTAACCTCTCTGAACATTTTTAACAATTTATCTTGTTAATTGTTCCAAACCTAGAAACTTTTTCCTGGAATTCCTAAATTATAATGATGGCCATTTTGCACATAAGACGTATCTCTTCATGTTAATTGTCTTCTCTAATTGTGACTTTTTAGTTGCTTCTTTGACTATAAAAATTTATGGTTAACTATAGATTTGCATTGTAGTGGTGGCAAAAGTTTCACGTGATAGCAATATGTTGATTGATTGAAGTAATCAGCGCTGTTTTTAGTGACGTAATTGTTAAAGATGAAACTTGTGCTTACGTTTTTTTTTTTTTTATATCTTTGTTCTAATTTTTTCTGAATTTTTTTTTTAAAAGACATGACTAGTGGATGTTTTTATCAGTTAAACATCACATGATTGGATCTACTGCAATTCTTTTTTTTTTTTTGTTTTTTTAAAGAAATCAGAAGATACGTTCATTGTCTCTTATCTTCTAAAATTTGATTTTATAGAAGTAAAACAATTTTTTTTTTGGAATTATTTGTTTTCGATTTGAATTGAATTGTATCTAATTGCATTTGTTTATTTTATGACAACAACTATTTTAAATGAAAAATTTTCACAAGAATTTGTTAACTTGAGATGGACATCTCCTGTGCAACGCACAGGGATTAACGGTAGTTATATTTTCATTAGAGAACCTGCTGGCAAACATTTGAGGAACATCATGTAGGTCTAGAACAGTTGTTAATAAGATCTAGCATTGGCGCTACAGATGATATCAATATGCAGTAATTCTTTGAGCAGTAATGTTTGCAGACCTTATGATATTATTGTTCCTTATCTTTCCCTGTCCAATTATCTTTCGGTAGTTTCATTAGTCTTCACAAGTTTTCTAGTTCTTTCTCATGTTGGTAGGTTGATAGCCTCATTGAATGTAAATATAAAGCTCTTGCTATTTGATAAATGTTGGAGAGTTAGATTGAAATCTGTTGTGTTTCAATATTTGGACTTTCTCTTTTCCTATTACTTGAAATCTGGAAGATTATATTGCAAACAGAAAAAATCTGCTTTTAATCTCTCACGAATTTTTCATATATAGTGCTTGGTTAAAGGCTGCCATAAAAGGATTCGTATTGTCCATACCATAGAATTCATAGATGGTGGTTCAGACATACAGATAATGAGGGTCGCCGTCTATGAAGAAGAATGGACTAGTCCTGCCAATATCAAAGACCCAAGGTACATGTGCTTTATTTTCTACTTTAAGAAGTCTGCATTTGTGCCTGCAAAACACTTTTATCTGAAAGATATAAACATAATTGGGCATCAACTATGAGTAAGAGAATTCCACATAATTCAAATTACCGGGCAAAATCGTAAGAAATATAAAAGAAACTTACATTATATCTTGAATGCTTGTTTGTTCTTGTAATTTCTTTCTCCTGCGTCAAATTCTGTACTTTCATCTGTTTGATATGCAGAATGAAATAGAGAAAAACATGATCTTATGACTGAAAAATGTCTTTTATTATTTCTCTAGAGATAAAATAGGGAAAATGAAAAAAAAAAAAAAATACCGTCAAAATATGCAAATGACAATTTAAGAACCATAAAATGTGAAAATTATTTAGTCCCTACAGACTTGTCTCATGTTTTGATTTTTGATAAGATGACTTATTTGTCCTTAGTGACTATTATAGAAAACGACTTTTTTGGTTGGGTTATTGATGAAAATGGAATAGATAATGGCTACTTTCTTTCTGCAAATTTGTTTATCAATCAAATGACACTAAAATAGTCATTTTTAGAAGGGAAGTAGTCATTTTTTAAATCATTTACAAATCACAAACTTGCAGAAAGAAAGTAGTCATTTTCTATTTTGTTTTAATTAATAACACAACCAAAGTAATCATTTCCTATGTTAGTCATTGAGGGCAAATGTGTCATTTTGTTGAAAATCAAAATGGTAGACAAGTCCTCAGAGACTAAATGATAATGATCACATTGAGGTATTAATTGTGAGGTAATTTCTTTTTGTCATTCTCCCATAAAATAAAAGAACATTTGTTTTTGTGCATTAAAAAGAATTTTTTTCCCCCGCGCAAACCAAGCCTTAGACCTTTTTCCCCTTCTCACTGTCATTCCTCCCTTGAGGCAATAACTAAATGCCATCACCATACTGAACAGTGATCTAGAGTTTGATGTCAAGCCATTCTCTCAGAGAAAACGAACCAGACCATCAGAGCTGATGGGGTCCTGGAAAGTCTTTGAGGTCAGTGCAACTCCAGTGTTTGGCAATGCCAACGACAACGACGATATCATAGAAGCCGGCAACGGTATCCCATTCATATACCTCTGTACAGAGACTCTGAAAAAGAGGAGCTTCCCTGAGAGCACCAACGCCTTTGGAGAAGAGGAGATGCTAGACATGCAAGATGTAACCATGCTATGGCTTCCTGGGGGTGTAACTTGCTATGTGGATATCAGTAAGGATGGTGTTCTTTGTATTGGAGTTGGATGGTACTCTGATGAAGGAATAAACTTGGTCATGGAGAGGGATTATGGGGTTGATGGAAAACTTAAAGAAGTAAGGTGGAAATCAGAGGTAAAGAGAAGATGGTCTAATCCACCACCTGTATAAATATAAGTTATCTTGAAATTTTGTTTTTCTGAGGATTACTGACTTGTAAAGTATTTTGTATGGGGAGTAAATTAATGATAGAATGTAAAGGCATGTTTGTGTAGTTAGACAGACCTCGCTCAATAATTTTCAGGTTCATTTAAGAGTAAAAAATTGGCTTCTAACTAAAGGCCTATGAACATTCTTGAAAACAGTGCAATCTAGTTTTTGCTGTTAATAAAAGTTAATTTTACTTGACATAAAAATGATAGAAATTGATTTCAAAATTTGCAGAAGATGATCAATAATTTTTTTTTTTGATCATTTTCTGTATTTTTTTTATCCATGTTTATAATTTGAGTTGTTTGCTGTAATTTTTGGTCATTTACTTAAAAAAGTGCGATGGAAATAAGAGGCAAAGAAAAGATGGTCTAATCCAGCACCTGTATAATGTAAACTCTTGAATTTTTTTTTTTTCTGAGGATTACAATGACTTGTAAAGTATTTTGTATGGGGAATGTTGGTGATAGAATGTAAAGGCATGTTTAGGGCTCATATAAATATGCAAAATAAAAATGAAGGGAGCAAACAATAAAATAAAAATACGATTTTAAATTAATAATGCCGTCAGAGAGAATTAGCAGGAAAATAGATGTTTAGAAGCGGAATTCCATATACGCTCTTTTTTCTTTTTCTTTTTCTTTGGATGAACGTTCATTTGGTTCTTGTTGAATTAACAAGATTTTTTAATATATTTTTTTGTTTGTTTGGAGAAAGAAGACAATGAATATGCTTGTTCTCGTGCTTATACTTTGATTGCTCTAGAGATTTTTTTTTTTTTTATGAAATAAAATTTAGGCAAGTAGGGTGCCTGAGTCTCACCAGGGCCAATATGTCTTCAGGCTCAAAGTATTTATAGATTATCCAACAAAAAGGTAGTCATGTTGGCAATAGGATTTCATGAGTTAAATTTTTATCAATTAGATCAATTTTTATTGTTGATTGCTCTAGATTTGTGCTTGGGGATTTTGATAAGGAAGAAGACAACAGATCTAGAGAGCATATGAATATGGGGAGGAATGAGTTTTTTCCCCCCTTCTTTGATTGAGGAGCATTATGGACTTCTTGTTCTTGATGCTGTTGTTTGATTTTATATATATATATATATATATATGGATGTATGTATGCATGCATGCATGTATGTATGTATTAAAAATTCCCATTCTTCTTAATAACGTCAACAACATTTCATTGCACTACATTGCTTTACCATCTACGAGGTCAAGGAAGATTATGTTATTATATAGGAAAACTATTTATTATGGTTTTATTTCTTTGGATAATTATTTATAAATTAATTAAGCATTTATTAGCATTTAGTATAAAATAATTAACTTTCTTTTATACCAAATCATAAATTATTGATCCATTCAACCAACCCACGTATTAGTCCAAAATATGATAATTATAACCATATTTAAATGTTACGCATCAATATTGGCATTTCAGAGTCAATAGTCCTCTCAATATAGAATCTTTTTTTTTTTTTTGGGCTAGAACGGAAAAATCAATCCAGAATCTTTATTACACTGGATCCACTGGTATAATTTTACGGAAAATGGCAATTAGGGACCCTAAGCCCATTATTTACAATTAGGAATTTAAATCATTAAAATCTCAATAATAAATCATAGTCCTTATTTGAAATTAAAATATATATAAATTTATAAAATTACTCTCCACTTGGAAAACAGAGAAATCACATTGTTGAAATTATTATCATAGGATGAAAATATTGTTTACTTCAATTTGGAAATAAAAAAATAGTAGTTGGAAATGAATTGTTTACTTGTATGAAATTAAATTCACTTTTAAAATTTTTGAAGGACATTTGTGGATACACAATAGTCAATTGAAAATTTACTAAAGTTACTTCTAAATATAAACTTAATCTTTTGTAAATTTTTATTCTTGTTCATAAATAGGTAGACCATTTAAAAAATAAAGAAATGATACTGTTAAAATTACTATTATAGGATAAAAATATTGATAATCTTAATTGGGAAACAAAGAACAAAAGTTGCAAATTGATTGTTTCACAATATGAAACTAAAATTCACTTTTTAAATTTTCTAATAGCATTTGTGAATATATAATACTCATTTAAAAATTTATAAAGTCATTTCTGACATTTTAAACTATTCGTATTTTTTTAAAATTTCAAATAAGAACCACAGTCCATTATTAAGATTTTAATAATTTAGGATTTTTAATTATAATTAATGGACCGTAGGGGTTCCTATTTGTCATTTTTCCTTAATTTTGGGGAGAATGTCAAATGAGAATATTTGAAAGGAAAATGACAATTAAAGACCATAAGAGCATTAATTACAATTATAAATCCTTAATTAATAATTATTAAAATTTTAATAATAGATTATTGTCCTTACTTGCAATAAAGTATTTTTTATTGATTGACTTAAGATTCAGAATGAATTTTTACAAATTTTTAACTAATGCTATAAAAATTTTCAAATATGCTTTGTATTTTGTAGATTTCTTAAGTGATTTATTTATATATTAATAGCAAAAAATCTAAATTTATAATTAACTCTCGTAAAATTCTAACTATAGTAACAAATTATTTCAAATATATTTTGTTATTTTTTAACTCACTATTCAAATTTTTTTAATTATAAGTAAGGACTATGATCTATTCTTAAGGTTTTAATAATTTAAAATTTGTAATTAATATTCTTATGAAATTTTTAATTGTCATCTTTTCTGGTTGAAATTGTGCAATGTCAATGAAATATCATGAAATTGCTCATTAGGATTTAGGTACACAGGTACCATCTAGCTGCTAGGATCTTGAATAACTACCTCTTGGGTGCAAAAAGAAAGTCCCATAAAATGAAGAGATTCAAGTAAGTGAAGTCTCGAAGGGATTTAAATTTAATTAAAATTTTGAACATATTTACAAAATTGACCTTTGAAAAGCTCGACCAAATTTAGATGTGAGGCATTATTATTTGGACTAAATTTTAACTTTCGATCCAAGTCTAACCCATGCTTCTAGAAAGAAGTGACCACCATTCACTTCAAATAAATGGGACATGTGGTGGAATATTTGGTTGAAAAAAAAGCTATAGCTAGTAGCTATAAAAATTGGGATATGAAGCTAAAAGAAAATTGCCACTTTGCCTATGACAATGGAAGCATGACACACCCCTTCTTCAATACCTTAAACATCAAACAAATGTACAGACACTTTAAGTAGAGAACCAACAATTATAGCCTGTTTGAATTGAATGTATAATCAATTTTTGGGGTGAAAAACTCGATTATACCAAAAATTACCCAAACAGTTGACTGAAATCAAAATCAATTATAGTTGATTATTGAATCAAAATCATATTTTGAAATAAGATCTGGGAGGTTGCTTATAGATTCAATTTTACTGTTAAATAATATATTTTACTTCCTAAATAAAGTTTAACAAATTTAATAATATTAAATATAACTTTATTAATAATTTAATTTTGAAAAGTAATATCCTTTATAACAATTTGTACAATTAAAATTAATTTCAGAAAAATAATATCTAAACATATTGTATTATAACATAATCAATTATAATTAAAATCAATCATATTAATCAATTAATTTTGTAATTAATTATACCTAACTACTAACTAAAATCTAAACAAGCCCTTAGTAGGAACTACAACCTCGTTGCTCTCATATTTTTCTTTTATATTATCATCTTACAATTTCTATAGTTTATTTTAGAACATTAATAGTACCATGCTTGCTCTCGTTTTATAGTTCTCACATTTTGCTCAATCTCTATTTTTTTTTCATTTTCTATTTTTTCTAAGCATTTGGTGCGGGGAAATTATGGAAGAAGTCTCTAAGAACTCACCATTTAATTTTGCAACCACAACAAAAAGAAAAAAACGCCAACAAAATGATAATTGTACACCTACAATCCACTTTAAATTTAAAAATTTATTTTTTTATTTTTTATCAATTTTTTAAAAAGAATGACCAATTTTTTTAATTATTTGATATTATGTTGTATCATATAGCTTATTAAGTCATGATAAACTTAAAATATTTAGTTTTATTTTTAAGTTGAATAAAAATTTCATATTTGTTTCTATAGATTACTATACGTATATATAATTTTTTTTAATTTAATTATTATGTCACCAATTTGATCATTAATACAATTAATTAAATTATGTAAATCATAAATTGTTGACTTTTTAATTTAATACTCGAGTCAGTTTTAAAAACATTGGTGAAAAGACAATGTTTCTCCTTCATCTCTCTCCCACTCCAAAGTTCAAACATTTTCCTTCTTCTCAATCTCCTTATTACCAAACCAAATGTACAGATGGTAATCAATATTACATTGCACCATTACATTACAAAGAAAATTTGTAATTGAACCAAACAAGTATTTAAAATAAAATAAAAAATGACTATTTCTGTTCTCAACCCTTATAAAATAAAATTGAGAAATGGAAACAGTTATTTCTTATGTTATTTTTTTATTCACTTCTTTAATGAAAATTGTGATTTGTAACTCTAAAATTATTATTTTGCTTCAGTTTCAGGATTCAGTACTTTTGAAATGAAAATAATCATATATTTCTTACATTATTTTAGTGGCTTTTTTCATGAAAGTTGCATTTATTACTCTGAAGTTACCATTTATGTTTGAGGACATTATAGTCATTTCGTTAAAAAATTGAATGCCAAGTAATTCCTAAATAATTATCTCATTTTATAGTTCCTTTCCATCATTTTTTTTATTTGAGTGAGATTTATTTGTCACTTTTTCTGCCTCAAAAGCATATAAAGAATTATTTATTTATTTATTTATAATTTGGCCAACGCCAAAATTATTTACTGAAATACCATTAAAGCAGGGTTTCATTTTGGGAGGGAATTGTATTGCGTATCCATTGTGGAATAATAGGCATGAAATTAAAGAAAAATAAAGCTATTTCCATTATCCAAAAGTCAAAATTAAAACCTTCACTCTACTTGTTGGCCTATAAATATGTCATCACCGTCGTGTCATATCTTTGCAGAGAGCAATCCGAACGAGAAAGCACTCTGAGAGATCAGTTTCACTGAGAGGTTTCATATTCAAACTCTCAAATGGCTGTCGGAGGTTTCGCCGTTGATGCTCCGTCGTCCAACGCCGCCGGCGACGGCAAGATAACTCTCTCCGTCGTCATCACCTGCATCGTTGCGGCATCGAGTGGTCTCATTTTTGGATATGACATCGGAATTTCAGGTTTCTTTCTCTAATTTGCTTCTGATTTGTTTCTCTTTTCCTCTTTCTTTTAATTTCAGTGTCTGATTCATTATCCCTATTTGCTTGATCTGCTTCATCTTCCTCAATATCTTCCACAGTACGTTGAAAAACTATGAACTGAACTGATCTGTTGTGGTAATTATATTTTAATTAATTAATTAATTAGTTTGAAATGCGTATATATTATTTTCTCTGAATTTTAATTATTCATCAATTATTATTTTATATGACAGGCTGAAAGTAATTTTCATTACATAAATTAAAGATTGATGGTCTATTATCAGTTATTAACTCCTTTTAGTCTAAATTACAAGATACTTCTGAACATATTTCACATGCACAAATAAAAATAATTATTTTCTTAATTACTTCAAAAAAGTCATATTTTCTTTTTGTTCTTAACCTTTTAGACATAGACATAGACAATATTAAATGAAGTAGATTTTATGTTTTTTAAGTGAGCGCTTCATAACTACATAAAGGTATCCTAGAAAACATGACCATTATTACCTCTTGCTTAAATTAATCTGAACTCTCTCGTTTTGAGATTATTTTTACCAACGGTAATTTCATGATCGTGCCTCAAGACATTTTTAATATATTTATTTAATATAGTTACATATTACATTACTTGAATTTGAGACTCTTGAATAAGCTTATTCATTTTCCTTGACCAATGGAACTTGAACTCAATGCCCCTAGGTAAAAAGAGACATTATTGATTACATATGCATGAAAGGTTTCAGAATACACCGTCTCTATATGAAATGTTACAAAATATAAAAGGACGTAATAATTATAATAATAATTAACTTGATTTATTTAATTGGCCAAAAATATACTATAGTGATTATATAAATTTCATGTACATCTAAATATTTAATACAAATACATGGTTTTGGTGAACTGATCATATTTTAAGTAATGGTTTATATTTTGTATTTCATGGAATATATTATATACTAACTTCGATCTAACATGAACATCAGCTGGGTTTCTTCAAGTGGCCGTTAAGACTTTGACGTGTCATCCGATCATGGTTTTGAAAATTGTTAATAAAACAGTTTTTTTGAAATTTTAAATTTGAGCAAATACTTGGTTGGTTTATCTTTTCTTTTATAAAATATAATATTTGTCAATGTTTATCTACAATAAAAACAACAGTAACCTCTTTTTTTTTTAAGAAAAGAAAACATCAGTAACATTGAAATCACAATTAATTGATGTCAGTTAATTTTTTTTACTTTTTATATATCTGTTTTAAAATATATAAATGAGTGGTCAACTTAAAATTTATTTTTCTTGATAGGATTGTATTTTTTAATTTTTATATCCATTCATATATTAATGTGCATTTATTTTGTTATCAAAAATTTTAAATTCTGCCTATTCTTTAAAAGATTTTGAAAAAATTTTTGCTCACTTCGTGGCATGCAATTTCTCTCCCTCTCTCAAATTCAAATTCCTTTCATGTTTTCCAAATCTTTCTACAAATAATATAATTTTAATAAGATATTTTTGTCATGATAAGTATAAATTTTACTCCTTTTATTAAAAATATAAAATATTTTTAATTTTTTATGCATAATTATTAATTTTTTTAAAAAATATTTTTATTGGTAATGAATTTATAATTATTATAGAGTGTTTAATAAGAATAAATATAAAAAGATAGAGTTAATTTAAAAATAAATATTTATTTTATTAAAATAAAATTTAATTAAAAATATTTTATATTTTTTAAAGCACAACAAATACAATAGCATCAATAATGTGTTTCCTGTGCATTGTAAGGGCATGATTTACTAGTAAAGCAGATAACTTTTTAGGTGTACCTAATGCTGCTAGTCACTTTTACTATCTCCAATAAAAATACACTAAGCCATATTATTTTAATCCTAGACGATAACCCCATAATGTATACCCATGTTCTTAAAAAAAATAAATACTAAAATATTATAAATTATGGGATCGTCACGTATGATTAAAATATGTGCCTTGGTATATTTTTATTGGTGATAGCATGAGGACATGATGTATAGGGTAGATTTGAGAATTTCCGGGTAAAATATGAAAATGTAAGAGGGGTTATCTTTGTGGTACCTAAGATATACAAGGCATACTTTATGGCCATAATACAAAATTTAAGGTGTTACTTATGAATAAAAATATAATTAATTAGTTGATTGTCGTTCATGTATTATATTTTCTTAATTATATATTCATTAATTAATGACCAAAATTACATACATAGAGTTATTATGAAAAATTGAAATTATATTTAAAAAAGAATTCAAATTATACCAATGAATTTTTTTAAAAAATTATACAAACACACACACAAATATATTTATTTATATACATATTTTCCCTATTTATTTTTAATGAGAGAAATTATTATACGTTTTATTTTTTTATAAACAAAACTTCAAAATTCAAGAAATACTATCATACTTTTTCAAATTTTTTTTTAAATTAAAATTTATTTTTATGGGATAAAATTTTTTTGTTAATCTCAAGGCTAATTTAGTTCAAATTTTTTAATTTTACTTCTTATTATTATTATTTTTTGGACCAGCTTGTTATTATTATGTTTAGCTATGTTTTTTTTTTTGGACTATGTAAGCTGTTGAAAATGTGCTTATATTTGAAATTGAAAAAAAAGTGTATATTTATAAATTATTTTTAACTTAATTAACTGAAATTAAAAAAAAATAGAATTTATTAATTTTATTAATAAATTTAATAAATTTTTAATTTTATCAATGAGTCATGAATAAAAATTTAATATATGACATATAAATAAGACAAATATTTTTTTTCCTATCTTATAAACGTGACTAGAAAGAACAATCATTACAATCAATTATTTCGTTTTTGTAACCCTGTTTCTCAAAAGTAGTATACTTTTGTTGGTTCTGCCTTCACCTGCCGAAGGTGTTAATTTCAACAACCTGATAAACACAAACCCAACATTCAACAACGAAAGGTCGCTGGGACTTGGTGGGACCCAAATTTAGTGGATTACACGTGGCGTGAGCATGGGCTAGGGCAAGGGCATGTGGGGATCACCTGCGCACTTTGAAATTTCGTACTATATTTTAATTATTTTGTATTAAAAAGAAAATACCCAAATTATAATAGCCGCCCTAATTTCATGTGTAAAAGCATATAATAAACACGATCCGCCATACTCATGTAACAATATTTAACCATATCAAATACACACTATTATTTTGTCCAAAAAAAATACACTATTATTTTTTTCCGTTTTTATCAAACCCACAATATTTGTGTCATAAAGTATAAATATAGAACTATCTAATTATCAAATTTGATTCATAGATTATAAACTAAGTCTTTACTTATAACATGTATACATTTTCTATTGTCATAAGCCTGTATTTTATTTTTGGCCAAAGTCATAAGCCTTAATAATATGCTAATAGAAAATCAAGGTACTGAAAATTAGACTGGTTATTGAATCAGTTGAAGTAGTGATTTAAGTATTAGTGGTCCAACTAAGGGTAAATTTTGAATCAAATCGGTCACAATTAATATAATATAATTTGATTAAATATACAAAAATATTGATATGAAAGATTGTAATATTTAAATAAAAGTCATTAATTCTTGAGTAAATGACAAATTTATCCATAAAATCTTGCGCATGTCTTAAAAAAATAATAATTATAAGTTTTTGACAACAATAAAATACAAAATATTAAAATTATTAACTAAGAAATTTATATTTGATTGTGGATTCAATATTTAGAAGAAGAAAGGAAAATAGAAATAATAAAATTTAACTTGAGTCAACCTATTAATCCATCAAGTTGGCCATGTTTGACTGGGTTGAAACTAATTTGATTGGGTTAAAATTAAGTCATAAATGACCGGTTTTCTCAATCAAATGAACTAATTAGGTGATCGGTTCATTGATTTATGGGTCTATCTGGCTGGGGTTGGTTCGGGTTTATAAATAATATAGAAAACTACTGAAATAAAACAATATACATAACAGTTAAAGTTTTCAAAAGTGTCTTGATCTGGAGCTCGTTTTTTATGGGTTTATCATATATGCTACAGTGTTTCATTTTTCAAAGCTTGATGCTTGAAAAACTATCAGTTTTAAGCGGGCCGTTCGAGAAACCTAGCCCACATTGACAGTTTTAATTACGGACTACTTCTCAATATCTTGTGACAAGTACCTATTAACAAATGTTTATAAATTGGATAATATTGCTATATTGCTAAGCCAATTTTTTTTTCCCTTTTTGTTTGTAAAAAGCTTTCAATATATATGAATTTCAGGAGGTGTGACTACTATGCCACCATTTCTGAAGAAATTCTTCCCAGCAATACTGAAGAAGGCTAGCAGTGCTGAAACAAACATCTACTGTGTGTATGATAGTCAAGTTTTGACCTTGTTCACATCTTCGCTATACTTGGCCGGGTTGGTTTCATCCCTCATAGCGAGTCGAGTGACGGCAGTGCTCGGCCGGCGAAACACCATGATCCTAGGTGGTTGCACCTTCCTTGCTGGTGGCGCCATTAATGGAGGGGCTCAAAATATTGCTATGCTCATCTTGGGTCGTATATTGCTTGGCCTTGGGGTCGGTTTCACTAATCAAGTAAGTGCAAATAATGCATGCATTAAGCACTACTCTCTTTTTTCCCCCCTTTTTAATTAGAGGGATACATAATAACAGTTTGAAATTACAATTGGAATTGAATCCGTAACCTCTCACTTGTAGGAGAGATTATATGCCACTAAATTACAAAAGCATAGCCTAAGCACTACTTTCACTTATATGTGGGCATTAAGGTGCTAGGGAGATTTTTATATTATGTTTTGGATTGTGAAGCACAAAATGTGTTTATTACCACTTTGTCTCTTCAAAATTAGGGAGAATGATAATAAACATATTAAAATGAGAGATTTATGAACAGTTAGGTTTCTGACAAAAATTTGTGTTGTATCCAAAAAAAATCTCAATTGCAAATTGAGTTATATTTAGATAAACATAACCTTTACAATTAACACTTGTAAATTTGTAACTTTTTAAATTAATATTTATAATTAATTTTTTTAAAAAATGTATTGAGAATTTAATTGTAATAAATTTATTATTTTAGTACTTTATTATCATTCTCCCTCAAATCTATACAACCAATTATGAAACGTTGAAAAGTTTGAAAAAAATTAAATTTGTTTATCTGGGTACACTTGTTCCGTTGTTTAGGAAGTTCATATATAATTTGCTTTTTTACCTTTTTTTTTCTTACTTGCAACTAAAATTATTTTTAAAATAATAAATTCTTTTTTAATGTCATAGAATCAAATATCATTTTTTTTTAATTTTATACTTGTGTTTTGCCTTTTAGTTTGCTAGGGATAAATTACTAGTTCGCTAGTTATCGGGCCAGTTGGCCATTTAACTTCCCAAAAACAATTTATATTTAGTGCTCAATCACGCAAGTGCATTTAGTATTTATTTCTGACTCATTTTTATGAAGCCAGAGCACATAGATACTGAAAAATTATTCATGGCATTATATATTTAGAATTAAAGGGTAAAATACTCATAACTTTTTCTTAAACATTTTTTTAACATATTTTTATTTTAAAAATTTAAAAAATAGAGCATTTTTATCTCATTATTAAAAATAAAAAATATTAATCGTTAAATTGAAGTTTAATTAAAGATATTTTTATTTTTTTTTATTTTCTTTTGTGTTTAGTCTCCAATTTTTGTTCTCTAGTGAATTCTTTAACTTTTTTTTCAACATATAAAAACAAAAATCAAAAAATGCAGAAATGAAAGGGATAAAATCATAAATTTTTTTTAATCAAATTTCAGTTAACGATTTATGTTTTTGATTTTTAACAATAAGGCAAAAAATATTTTGTTTTTAGAAACTTTCACAACAAAAATGCTTCCAAAATAATTTAAAATATCAGGCACCCTCTGGAAAAAAAAAGTTTTAAGATGTTTTTGCCATTTGACCCTTGAATTTAAATAATTATAGTAATTAATTGTTTCAATATTGACAAAAATGAAGGCAGCACCAGTGTACCTATCAGAGATGGCTCCACCCAAATGGCGTGGAGCGTTCAACACAGGATTTCAGTTCTTCATAGCTATTGGAGTGGTCGTAGCCAACTTCATTAACTACGCCACTTCCAAGCACTCTTGGGGGTGGCGCGTGTCTCTCGGCCTCGCCGTCGTGCCAGCCGCCACCATGACCATCGGCGCCTTCTTCATCACTGATACGCCCAGCAGCTTGGTCCAGCGTGGCAAGATAAACCAGGCCAAGACCGCCCTGCGCAAAGCGAGGGGGCCCACTGCTGACGTGGAAGCTGAGCTGGACGACCTCATCAAATGGGCCGAGAAGTCCAAGACTCTCGAGCAAGAGCCCTTCACGACCATATTTGAGAGGAAATATCGGCCTCACTTGGTAATGGCATTTGGGATCCCATTTTTTCAACAGCTCACTGGAATCAATATCGTTGCGTTTTATTCGGCGAATCTGTTTCAGTCTGTGGGTCTTGGAAACGACGCCGCTTTGCTTTCAACACTCATTTTGGGGCTTGTGAACCTTGGATCTATCGTAGTGTCCACCTTTATAGTTGATCGCTTCGGTCGAAGATTGTTGTTCATCGAAGGGGGTATTCAAATGATTATCTGTCAGGTATGGTATGAAACCATATATTATTTTTATGGATTTTTGAACTATTTCCTCAGTTTGAAAATATATTGCACATTCACTTGCACAAGCATTAGCAAAGTTATCAAACCCATTTGTTCAAATATTTTTGTTTCTGGCCCCAAAATAAATTTTTTTTTTATTTTTTTTAAAGAGACTGATTTTCAGTCTGTCATTGAAAAAAACTAAAAAGACAACTGTTTTGCATTTTGTTGCAATTTTGGGAAGTACATTTTTATTTAAAAGTAGTTCACAAAATCATTAAAAAAATATTCAAAATAGCTTCTTAAAAAATTAGAAATATAATTTTTTAAAAAAATTAGATTATATTTTCAATAGATTAAAGAAATATTCTAAAATTTTCTCTATTTTAGATTTAGATTGTAACAAAATCTAATGATATTTGACTAATCTTATTTATTTTGATTTATTCTTTTATTTCATTATTCATTATCCTAAAAAATATAATAGTTTTGCCACCACCATCTACCCTCAAGCAACCATTATTATCAACAGGGCCCATGGTATCTTGAAGATGTCTATGACATTTTTATTTTACATAATTACATATTTCAGAATTTGAATTTGAAACTCCATACTAAATTGATTCAAGTTTCTAATTGTTTATGTATTTTTTATTTTTTTTGGAAATTATGTATTTTCTAATTAAGCAAAAAAATTTTCACTTACAATCATTTTTATTAATATTGGACTAATTTTCTTTTTTCTTTTTTAATTGTTGCCAACAATTGTACGAAGATTGCGGTGGCCGTGGTGCTAGCAGTTACGAACAGTACACAGCATCTCCCAAAGGGCAATACGGTATCCGTACTGGTGCTGTTATGTTTGTACGCTGCTGGGTTCGGGTGGTCGTGGGGCCCACTGAGTTGGCTCATTCCGAGTGAGATTTTTCCAATGAAGATCAGAACCACAGGACAAAGCATCAGTATAGCCGTGAACTTCATGACCATATTTATACTGTCTCAGACATTCTTGACCATGTTGTGTCACTTCCAATACGGTGCGTTTTTGTTCTTCGGGGGTTGGATCGCCGTCATGACCATCTTCATTGCGCTTTTCTTGCCAGAGACCAAAGGAATACCACTCGAGTCTATGTATGCAGTGTGGGGCAAACACTGGTTTTGGAGTCGCTTTGTGGTCAAAGATAATGATGTCCAAGACAGCAACAATCATCATCCATGATCTGACACTTGGGTTTGGACGGAGAGAAAAATAGGAAAAAAGAAAAAATAAGAGGAAAAACTCTTAAAAATAATTAAAAAAATTACTATTTTTTGAAATTTCTTTTCCTAGTTTTCCTTCATCTTATTTTCTTCTCACTTTTCTTTTCATATAAACCAAGTCTTAATTTTTGTAGGTCTTCATCTTCTGGAGAACTTGTTTTTATCTAATTATGTTATAGAAATTCTAGCTGCTGCTAAATATAATTGTTGTTCTTTTTAAAGGGTGAAATGATGTGTTTGTTCTTTATGATGCCACATTGAAAGAATTATGTTAGAATTCCCCTTCTTCTTTGGGTGCGATACAATCAATTTTGATCTTAATGTTTTGAAACTGGCTAAGTTAGTTTTGTATGAAAAATTGCAATGCATTTGATCCTTTAGTTATTGGTTTGAAAGATCCTATTATATTTTGGGCTGGATATCTAAAACATATCTTGATGTGGGCAAAAGTGTGGGCCTTAATTCGTAGGCCTATAGTGAGAGTTTATCCTTGAGTTATTTTAGTATATTTCTAGCATTACTCGGAAAATAGCATTATTAAGGGATTGTTGGAACACATTGATTATGAAAAAGATCAAAGTATTTTGAATTCAGTTTGAAGTCCTTAAGATATGACTTGAAAATGATATTGAAGGAGAAAAGACAAAAATAATAATAACCCTTTTGAATTTTAATTGATAGAAATATTGTCTTAACAAGCATGCATGTCACGAATAACAATAACAACTTGATAAGCATGAGTGTGGAAAATATCAAATGTAATATTATAACAAGTATGGTGGTGGGAAATGATAAGTAAGACTGTGTATGAAAAATGACAAGTAATAACAATAACAACAACAACAATAATCTCATAAGCACGAGTGAGGGAAATGACAAGCATGATTATTTTTGTCTTTTCTCCTTCAAACTTATTTAGAAGAATGAAAAATAAGGACTCTTGAAAAATGTCAAAGACATTTTACAATTAAAATAGAAAATATTAATCATTTGGTCCTTATAGTTTTAATTCAATTGTAGCTTAGTTTCTAAACTTTGACTCGTAATTCGATCGTATAGTTTTAATTAGGTTGTAACTCAGTTTTTTTAGCTTTCACTTTTGCAATTCAGTCCTTATAGTTTTAACCATTTAAAATATTAGTTCTTGTATTTTAAAAATAAAATTTTAAATATTAAAATTATGTTAAAATTTAGGATTAATATTTTTAATTACTAAACCCTTTTAATCTTTATAAAGATTAAAATTTTAAAATATTTTTAATTTTTATAATTTTATTTTTTTAAATATAGGAACTAATATTTTAAATTATTACAATTATAAGGATTGAGTTGCAAGAGTAATAATAGTTCATGAATTTAGTTACAATTGAATTTAAACTATAAGGAGTGAGTTATAATGAGTCAATATTTATAAACTGAATTACAATTAGGTCAAAATTACAAAGACAAAATAATTAATTTTCCCATTAAAATATAAGAAATTTACAATTGAAATTTCAAGAATTTACACCTCAAATGTCTTTGTTTCATATTAATTTCTTTACAAGTTCTTCAATTATCATTCTCCCATCTTATTTTCATATCTAACATCAAGAACTTAAGAATACATTCAAAATGTTTTGGTTCTATTTTGCAATTACCATGTTGCAACTGTCCTTGTATTTCCCTTTAAGTTATTTGGTGACTCCACAACTGGACTCGGAAATTGTGATAGGGTCTAGGGAGTGCAAGTTGAAGCGTATGAAGATAGCCTTATGGTTAGTTTGGTTTGTGAAAAGCGTGGAAATTGAGTAATGGGAAATATAATACTCCATTCGTCCTATTTTATAAAATATTTTTGGAGGAGATTTGGTGAATCAAAACATAAAATTTTTTTTTTAAAAATAAGGTTTCATTAATAATAGTTATTTCAATATTAACCCTCATTATTTCACTATTGAAATAAATTGTCTTCCTTCTTTTCCTTATTAATGAATGATATTTTTGGAAATTTATAGAAAAATTAAGATTATAAACTGTATTTACTGTATTTCATTCATGTGTACTCTCTCTCTCTCTCTCTATCTCTATCTATCTATCTATTGTTAATAGATATATTCCTATTGGAAGTAATCCCATTGTAACACTTTACTTTTTCAACCACGTTTAGTTAAACTTACCATGGTAATTAAAGACAAAATTTATCCTTTAAAATTCCTACTATGGTAGAAAAGGGGTTGTAATATTTTAAAAATTATCCTATTGATTAATTAATCTAATGAAGGATAATTATGTAAATTTAAGTATAATTGTGTTTAAAGATATTTAGAGAGCTAATAAGCCTATTGGGTTTAACTTTAGCCATTAGAGTGGGCTCAAATTGAAGAGAAAAAAATCAGAGTTTAGCCTACTATGTATTATGTTGCAGCATAATACATTTATGTTGCAGCATAATGTCAAAAATCAGACTTAAGAAAGCATCTGCATGTGCGAAAACAAAAAGGAAGAAGAGGATAATGAAGGGACTTGTAATTCTCTTTGCTAGGGCACAATTTTGTTGGTGTTTTTGGGAGATTTAAAGCTTCTAATCACTAAGATAAGCTTTCCTTATCATTCCTCTTTCTCTTTACACCATTTTAAATTAGGATTTATAGTTAAATGATGATTTTTGAACATTGAGAGCTTTGGGTTTAAACCCATTAACTTAAATGAAGTTAATGAAAATTATTTGAGTTATCTAAATTTAAAGATAGTAGTTTTATGTGTCTATAAGAGTGGGCTCTCAATTATGAAAGAATTTATGCATTAAAATGTCATTAGCGATGAAGATTTAGGTTGTTGGAAGCCACTAATGGTAGTAGATGGGTTTAATGAAGTTAGTTGGAGCTAATGGAGTTAATAAACTTAATAAGGTGATTAAACTCAAGAGTTGAGAGTCTTAGGTGATTAAAGTGTTGAAACTTAAGAGTTGGAAGTGAGTAATTTGTGACATTGATGATGATTTTCAGTAGTTAGATGATATATTAGTAATTATTTAAGTTTTTGAGACCTAAATGAAGTTAATGAGAGTTAATGAACTCATTAGATGTGAGGTTGATCTTGTAGTTGAGCAAATTGGCTATTAAAGTATGAAATTAGATGTTGAAAGTGGTGATTTGATCATTATCAGTGATGGATGTTAATATTAATTGTAGACAAACCTCATGAAGCACCGGTGAGTTTGAATTTAGCTTAGAAAGAAAGTTGTGATTAAGGGGTAACTTTTAACTTCTCAAAGTTTTAAAGTAACCGAGAAAAATCTTACTTTTACTTTTGCATGTTAATTAGTTGGTTTTTATAAACTATTGTCAAGATATGTGAATGTGTTTGTATGCAAGTATGGCATGAAATATTTGAAAATCATATATTATGATTTATGAGATATTTAAAATAAATGTGTGTGAACTTGCAAATGGAATGGTAGTTGTGATATAAACTAATTTAAGCAAAACTTGTACTTGTTTCATGTCTCAAATGAATAATACGGGATGATAGTAAATTGATGAGTTATGTGGAGTTATGTAAAGAAAATTGTGAGTGAGTGTAGAGTTATGTGCTAATTTGTTATGTAAGAAATGTATGATGATTATGTTATGATGAAAATGATGATGATAAATTACATGCTAATTATAATGATTATATGCATGGCATGATCATTTGTAGCATGACTTCGCCTGAGAGGAGTAGTGATAAATCTACATGATATCGACGGCTTACTGTTGTAATTAATAGCTAGCTAGACTACTAACCATTGGAATTGCTAGGTAGTCATTGTCCTATTATTGAATAGGGACTGTCCCATTTGTTATTTGAGGGACTTGAATCTAACTAGTCTTTACTAGTTCATGAAGGGGCTAGCTTAAGGGCACAACATCTCATGGTTGTTAGTATTTGGGGAACTATGACTTAAAAGTGAGTATAGTAGCCTTGACCGAACAACTTTTCACAAGTGAAAGGTTTAGGTAGTCTGATGACAAGGATGAATCTCACTAAATAGCCATTGGTTTCATATCGAAGGTAATATGAGAGTATAAGGTTATCATTGATTATGCATAACATTATATGGCCACATGATTGTTATTTGTGTGGTCTTGCATGTTTTATAAAGGATATATGATTGTCAGTAGTGTGACCCTTACATACTTAATAGTCTAATATCACATGATTGTTAGTTTTATGACCATATGAATTGGTTGGTTTAATATGTGAATATGGTTCATTTGAACCTGCTATTTGCATTACTATGATTAATTAACATGCATTAATATTTGTTTGATATACTTTAGTTATTGAATAATTATACTCATCCCTCATTTAACATTTACAGGTGCTAGCTCGAGTCAGGATAAAAAGAAAGCACTAAAGACTTGGAAACCTTGTTTCTTAATATAGGCCTCTTTATTTTTATTTTTTTATGTGTAACTAATTCAATAATGCCAATTAGAAAAATGCATATTTTGATAGTTCTTCACCATTTAAATGTTTATGTTGATTGGTTATATTTTGGGCCTTAGAATGGTTATTATGATTTGAGAAGTTTGGGCAGGGCTTAAAAATATTGGTGCAAGTATGACTTTTTGAGTTTAAGATGATTGTAATTGAACTTTATGAGATTTAATGTTAAAATGCCTCCATCTTTACTTTTGATAAGTTTGGGGTTGAGGATTGAATTTATGAAATATGTGATATCTAGTTCATGTGATGTGTTACATAGATTTTCCTAAGTCTATTGAGGAGGGTCTAGGTGTTGGATTGTGCTTTTGGTAATTGGTGTGAATTTTGGATGCTCAGGTTGTGGTTTAAGGGTGAAAATGTGTTAGTTTGCATTTGGGTGTTCAATTTGTGATTGGGTTAGAATTTGGAAATGAAACTAGTGTCATTAGTTAGAGTTTTGAAAGATCTTTCTATAGACACTTAGATCATCATCAATCAGATGTTGAATGAAGATTTAGGACATATTGAAAGTTTAGTAAGAAAGTTTGTCATGATAGTATATTGTTGTCATGGATTCTACATTTATGTCACAATATAAAATGTTATGCTACAACGTAATTCTAAACTTCATCGAAGTATTCTTGCTGTGCCTAATATCTGCATTATGCTATGGCATATTATGCTAAAAATGCTATTTTGACTTTTTTAATCCTAAATTGATTTGTTATCTTTTGTGATATGATTTTCACACTTTTATTTATGTTTTACT